CGTACTGCGGACCTAAACGGACGTTCGGAACGTCCGGGGGACGTCCCCTGTTTGCTGGGATAAGCTGTTTTGGGAGAAGGGGAAAAAAGTCGCCAAAGATTACTAAAAGATTTGAGTCAAAATGGCAGAAAAATCATAAATACAACCACTAGTAATATATGATTTATTGGCTTATGACTTTTGACCAACAGGTGGCGCTGTTATCAAATATACGTGGTGTGTTCTGTGTGAGGTAACAATGGCACACACAAAGTTTGGTGTCAGTAAGTCAAAGCTTTGCAGAGATACAGCCTAAGACATAATCTGGCTTTGTTGTGGCACTATACAAAAACGGTATTGTCTATCAACACGAAATCCATAACTTTTTGGTAATAACACTGTCTGATCATGATCTGATTCGATTTTGGTGAAAATCGGACCAACGGTCGAGGAGGAGTTAGAAAAAGTAGGTTTTCAACATAAATCAAAATGGCGGACAGGAAGTTCGACCCACAATGGCATAATTGGTATTTTTGTTGTCAGCATGACCCACGGAATATTTTGAGACCAGTTTCATTATAATAGACTAATGCAATCAAAAATGATTAGCATTTTTGGAAATTTCATAATTAATGGTTAATGAATGGTTTACTACTCTTGACCAATAGGTGGCACTGTTACCAAAATGATGGGGCCTGGTCAGTGTGAGGTGACAATAGCACATACAAAGTTTGGTGTAAATATGTCAAAGCTTTGCAAAGTGTTGCATATTTTGCATGTCTCGCTTGTTTACCACACCTGATTCAAATCACATATTTCCATAATAATTAAAAAGGGATAGTTTACCCAAAAATTTTAATTCTGTTATCATTAGCCGGGTTTCCGTTACAGATTTGCGCAAAACTTTTGTGATATTTTATGAATGTTGATAAAAAAAAAACTATTGCAACATGACGGCATTTCCATTAACCGATGTTATGCGACTAAGATCTAACTTTTCCTTGCCGCATACGTGTATCTTTAGCAAAGCAGCATTGGAGATACGCTTCTGGGCCGTTTGTGAGACGTGCTGCGGCGCAGCTGCTATAAACACAAACTTTGACTAGAAGAGGACAGTGGCCGTGTTGGAGCCGTAATGCGCTGCAGACGTGCAGGTAATGCGCTGCATTTACATGCAGGTGCAGTGTAAATAAGGGGTTATCCCCGCCACATATGAAGTGTTTCTTGTAGGTTACAGTACATTAAAGAATGACAATTTGACTTTTACGTACACCAGATGACCCGTAAATGTGAAAAAAAACTTTCCATTGCAGTTTTGCAATATATTCCTTTTCGAATTGCCTGAAAAACTACCTCATGCGAGCATAAACATTTTTTGCGACATATGGGAGTTTCGCGAAATTTTCTTGTTTCCTGGCTATATTTTCAAATCGCAATTTCAATGTTAGCAATTTGAAGGGTAATGGAAACGCGGCTATTTACTCACCTGCATGTCCTTTCAAACCTGGATGCCTTCTTCCTCTCCTTTTTAAAAAAAATATTTATTTGTTTATTTTTATTTAGAATAATGCGGGTAAACAAACTGTTTTGATTACGGTTGACTTCCATTATATGAACGGAGTTATTTCTCAAATTATCTTCTTTTATGTGCCACAGTTTATGTTAGGCCATTGTAGCCTAAACGTTTATAATAAATTCTGTTCAAATAAAATATTTCTTTGTAAAGCTAATTTTTGTAATGTCTATTTAATGCTTTTCTTAACGAATACTATAATGGCTTCGGGGCAGTCGTGGCCTAATGGTTAGAGAGTCGGACTTGTAACCCGAAGGTCGCGGGTTGAAACTCGAACACCATTAGCTATTGCAGGCAAAATAGTGCAATTCAATCAGGCTTCAGCATTTCGGAGAAAGTGAGTTCTCCAAAGCGTGAAAACTATCACACAATGTTGAGAGGCCGTCTCGAGAGGGAGCCCCATTTTGAAACCCCATAGGAAATTCTTAAAGGAACCATCAGTCAATTAGTCTTCTGGATACGTGCACCATTCTATTATGATGGTGGAGTAAAAATAGACTAGGTGACACTTCTTGTAGAACTGTTGTATAAAACCCACCATAACGCAATCTCCTGTTGGTTTGAATATCACTCACTGTATGATTGGTTACAGCTGTAACATTTTACCAAGCTAACAACCAAGAACTTCATGAGATCAGTTCAGATCATTTCAGTGTTTCATTAATAGGAATCTATTCCAATGACATTTACTAAATTACAAAAGCTCACTTAACCATGTCAACTTGACAATTATTTGTTATTTCATTGTTAATCATATTTGCATGTATAGAATATTTCAGCTAAAAATGTAAAATAATGCATTCAAAGTAAATGTGGAAAGAAAGTGGTGGCAGAGTAGAAATATATTAGATCGTCTATCATCGGGAAGAGAAAAATGACACCTTGTGGAACGTATTACACTTTGTGCATTTATTTAAAAAAAATCTGGAAAAAAGCAAAACAACGATACAGTTTTAAGATACATAAAGCACACACTCATACACACTCAGTTGTTTTTGGAATCAGTATTATTAATCATTCCTTTGTGTGGCATATTTAGTACAGTAAAAAAAGGAAAACAGTATACTGAGGTCCAGTCAGTAAAGTGAAGTCTTCACTGCATGTCCTGTTTTACACAATATTGGTCAAGTTACAGAGGAATTTAGGAATATGTTAAATTTTTAAAGGAAATAAATGCAATTCATTAAAGAACTGGTACTATGTACAGTTTTATACAATTAAAGTCCAGGCTCAGAGTGCTTTAAGACTCACTGCATGTCCTAAATACTCAGAAGATGTATTCGTATCAAACTGACCCCATCACATCATCTTAAAGATTTGTCTTTCTTCGCAAAAGTCCAGCTTTAGCTTACTAAAAACTAGAAAGTACTACAAACTGAAGTATCTGCCCTTCATTTCAGTGATCATGTTTTAAAGGACTAAAATCAAAAGACACAAGCCAAAAATGATGCTAATGTTAAAACTTGTGACTGTAAACTATAGTTACTGGGAGGCTGTCAATATTAATACAACACAAACGGTGCTTTATCAGGGCACATCAACCTTTGGTAAACCTGAAATGCTTTCGGACAAAAGAAAATCAATAACAGAAACACAGAGCTGATAGTCCAGTCTCAATAAACAGTATTAATATCCTAAACATCATAAAAAAAGGAAAACTGTAATTGGGAATAATCTGACATATTTGATCAGAAACATTAAAGTGTTAGTTCACCCAAAAATTAAAATGACCCCAATTTACTCACCCTCAAGCCATCCTAGGTGTATATGACTTACTTCTTTCAGATGAATACAATCGGAGTTATATTTAAAAACGTCCTGGCTCTTCCAAGCTTTATAATGGCAGTGAATGGCTGTTATTTTTCAACAGTTCAAAAGAAGTCCAATAAAGCGCATCCATCCATAATAAAAACTGCCTCACACGGCTCACGGGTTGTTGTGTATACTACATAACACAGCGTAAATGATCCGCAACAGGGGTCACACACTACACGAGCGGACAACATCTCTGTCACCCAACATCTTTCTGGTCCCCAAACCAGGTTTTGTCACGAAAACACACGCGAGAAGTGGAACGGGAATGACATGAAACAACACGTGAAACAGGAGCTATTTGAAAATGGAGGTTGAGAAGAAATTATTGCTGAAATTAGTGATGATCTGTTCAGAAAAATTTTGCTTAATTTCTTGTGTCCAAACTTGTTCCATGTTGCTGCTGCTGTTTTTCCTTCCGCTGACCTCAACACATGCCTTGCTCTCTCACTGGCTGAAGCTCGTCGCTGACCGGTCCAGATATTTAGCTTGCTAGATATTTGTTTGGTGTCGGCAAGCCTCTTTGATAACATCTCTGTCACCCAACATCTTTCTGGTCCCCAAACCAGGTTTTGTCACGAAAACACACGCGAGAAGTGGAACGGGAATGACATGAAACAACACGTGAAACAGGAGCTATTTGAAAATGGAGGTTGAGAAGAAATTATTGCTGAAATTAGTGATGATCTGTTCAGAAAAATTTTGCTTAATTTCTTGTGTCCAAACTTGTTCCATGTTGCTGCTGCTGTTTTTCCTTCCGCTGACCTCAACACATGCCTTGCTCTCTCACTGGCTGAAGCTCGTCGCTGACCGGTCCAGATATTTAGCTTGCTAGATATTTGTTTGGTGTCGGCGAGCCTCTTTGATTAATCGTTGAGTAGTTCACACATAAAGATTGCTGAGCGCTGATCATCCGATGATTTTCCCCCAATCACAGCCTGACCTGTCAGTGAGCTCGTTAACTTGCAAATCGGGCTTAAAATCCTGTAGTGTGAACTTGGCTGAACTGTCAAACGCGCGTTCACAACAGAACGCTGTTCCAGTGGATGATGTAGGACGTCGGCGTAGCGTAATCTCCGGTGAGAATATGCTAGTCTCGCGAGAACCAACGTTTGTTTACAGAAGCAAAGGAAGCAAAGTTTCCTTACTTTAACAGGAAAACCAGTCTCCTCTTGGCTTGTATCGAAATCCTCCGACATTATTCTTTACAAATCCTTGTTTTATACTTCTAATTCGTGAGCGCTGTTTTGTTTTGCCCTCTCCTCTGTGCTTCTCTGCATATGTCACTTCTCAGCGGCGCATGCACTACGCCGACGTCCTCCGTCATCTGCCGGAACAGCGTTTTATTGTGAACGCGCATGACAGTTAGTGGAAACTAGAGATTACGGTGTATAAAATTTTAAATATGGATATTTTTCTTACACAAGCGCATGGATTCGCTACAGGAGGCCTTTATTCACCCCCCGGAGCCATGTTTTATTATGAATTGATGCACTTTATTGGGACTTCTTTTGGAATGTTGAAAAATAACAGCCATTCACTGCCATTATAAAGCTTGGAAGAACCAGGACAATTTTTAATCTACCTCCGATTGGATTTGTCTGAAAAAGAAAGTCATATACATCTAAGATGCCTTGAGGGTGAGTGAATCATGGGCTAATTTTCATTTTTGGGTGAACTATCCCTTTAAGGATTGTCCTGTATTTGTGTGCAATGTTGCTCTTAATTAATGGAATGATTCGTTTGTGAAGATTACGAATGTTTGCACCTCCACCAAAACACTCCACATTACTCTGGGTCAGACTTGACAAGAACTATTGAATCCTGTAAGCCAGAAGTAATTAAGAACTTTAATAAGGATGAATGTCAACACAGACAGTTATGGAAGTGTTAACAGAGTGCTGTGGAAGTACAGAGGTTTGCGGTGCGTCAGTGAAGTCTCGGGGTTTATTTGCTGTCTGTGTCCTCGAGGGGCGAGGGGCTGCTGTCTCTCGTGGGAAGCAGGTCGTAATGACACGGGATGTGGCTGTTCTTTGGTAGGTCGTATGGATCTTGACAAAATGGCCCGTTGCAGTTGTTGTTAGAGAGTGTGTGGACAGAACTGATGGTCGGTTCTGGATAGGGAAAAACACAGGTTCAAACCGTTACATGGCTTACATACTGTTATCTCACTAATTATTTATAAATACCAAAAACAGCAGTTTCTGTTCTGCAGGAAAGTCGAGTCCCATCGTGGAAACGACAAGCAGCTTCAAGCATAGCGAAGCCAAAAATCAGTAATGAAGACTGTTAAAAACTAAAATGTTTTCAAAAGATTATGGATGAGAAAGTAATTATGTAATAGTGATACCTTTAATATAATTTTATATCAGAGGTTCTCAACCATATGAAAGAGTACTAGAATATTGTATGTTGATTACAGGAGTTTTCCTGTTGCTTTGCTGCATGGGATGAATATGCAGAAGCGTCTCTGACTGGCCTTAGACCGCTGGAGCATTTGCTAGCACATATTTGCTCTTATTTGCATCAAGACAAAATACTGATGCAAGCGTCAAACAACAGTGCAAATGAGATACACACTTTCAACAATGAAAGACCCAGGCCAGGCCAATAATGGCTCCAAATCATTTGCTCATGTTACAGAATCAGAAACAGGAAAAATTACTAAATAGAGGAATGTATTGTTATTCTTCAGAATGTAGTTTTCCAGTACTGTAGCATTAAGATCCTGAAGTGTACAGCTTCACTGTGTGGTGTGAGTCAAAAGAAACGTTAGGATCTAAAGTAAGCAATAGTGCGCTCTGGTTGAAGCGCTGAGGGAAGGGCTGTGTGTCTTTAGCTGTGTCTGGAGCACTCAGTGGAAGATGAACGCTCAGAGAGAGACTGTAGTGTGTAGTTGACTGATGGATTAGATTAGATTAGATTAGATTCAACTTTATTGTCACTGTGCAGAGTACAAGTACAGAGCCAATGAAATGCAGTTAGCATCTAACCAGAAGTGCAAATAACAGAGTATATAAATAAATATAGATTGTGTATATACATTAAGCTTTATCACATATAGTGCAAGTTATGAGGTAGGAGGGCAGAGACCAGCTCAATGCAAATGACTGTACATACAACATAGGGTGCAAGGAATGTAAAAACAGTAGGTGTATTATACAGTGAGTATAAACAGAAGGTGCATTATACAGTGAGGTACGTAAATAGCATATGTTTATATATGGCCAATGACCATAACAGTGCAAACGGCATCCGGAGGTAGAAATGTAAAAGGGAATGTGCAAAATATCAGAGAAATGTGCAAAATAGAGGGAATAATAAGAACATTGTGAGTGAGGAGTGCAGACAGGTTAATGTTCTGAACGCTTGAGGGCCACTGCACCAGCATGTTTTGGTACGGGTACAATGGTGGTTGTTTTAAAGCAGTTGGGAACAATGGCTTGGGCCAGAGAGAGGTTGAAAATGTTGGTGAAGACCTCAGTCAACTGTTCTGCACAGGCCCTAAGCACTCAATCCGAAGTCGTAGCTCGTCGATCTTGTTTGCCAGAGATCGTACGTTAGCGAGGAAGATGCTTGGTATCGCTGGACGACGCGGGTTGAGCTTTAGCTTAGCCCGCAGGCCGCTCTGCTTACCCCGTCTTTGTTTACGTTCGCAGCGCCGACGACGGGCACTTCCTGTCGGACTGGCTGATTCACTCGAGCCCGGGGACTGGAGTAATTCGGGAGGTAGTAGATGAAGATCTAGTGTTGTATCCACATCGGTGTTTGTGTAGCGAAGTTTGATATCCAATAGTGTGTGACGGTTGTAAGAGGTTAATGCGTAGCTATGTCGAACAACTGCGCTGAAAATAACTAGTAAAATAATAAGTAATTTGCAAAAACTGGAGAGACGCTGAGCCTCGCGCTGTTCACGCGCCGCCATGGAGGGCTCAGTGCTGGTTTTTTGAGCACCTGCTTAAACATGATGGGAATGTTTCCTGTAGTAAGAGATCTTTCAGGTGGAAAGTGTCATTATAAACAGGCTTTCTCTGGGTAGTCTGTCCTCATCTGCAGTGCCTGTACAAACAGACCGGGGTGAGGGCTGATGGAAAAGACAGGCATGACGGCCCGATTATAATGTATGTGTGGCGACATGATGTGAACACAACAGATGCGCTCGCACGTCTCACGATTACTCATTTTCTGCTAGCCGAGGAACTGATGTGATGCCTTCAGGTTTGTAAGGATACATCACATCTGTGCAGTATTACTGGAGACTTCAGGCTGTTCATACGGAGTGGATATGTAGTCCCATCAAGGGTAAAACTGTTCATATGAAGTACAAATAAAAATGGCTGACTATGACTTTTAAATATTGGAATGTAGTTTAGAAAATAATAGTCAGTGAGTCATCTATCATGACAACTCTTGGAAGATTTTAGCATGGTAATGGATATGACAATGTTAATGTGTTTGGTCTTGGCAGAATAGATCTGCTACGCTGCTGCTGCTGGTTATTGCTGTAGTTGTAGATTATTGCTGCTGCTGCAAGCAAGTACAGGAACTTGCTACTGCCAATGCATTCGGCGATACGGTTCCATGAGTATTTAAGACATACTGCAAATCTATCATGACAACTCTTGGAAGATTTTAGCATGGTAATGGATATGACAATGTTAATGTGTTTGGTCTTGGCAGAATAGATCTGCTACGCTGCTGCTGCTGGTTATTGCTGTAGTTGTAGATTATTGCTGCTGCTGCAAGCAAGTACAGGAACTTGCTACTGCCAATGCATTCGGCGATACGGTGCCATGAGTATTTAAGACATACTGCTGCTGCACAAATAGCATATAAAATAACCTGCAGATCTATACAGGTGGAGCTGGGGAAGGCGGAGGGTTTCAGAGGAACTCTAGTGAATGCTAACCAGCCAATTAATGTATGCAACATTGGCTGCGTATGCAACATGAACAAATTATCTTGTGCCAAGTAGTGTAATGCTGTTAATATCATCAATTTGCATTAACGACCCACCAGTCTGAGTCATCTTTTAGTTTCATGATAGAACTTGGCATTTATTACGTCAGCTTTGAATAATGAAAGTGCACGGCTCACTGCTGTGGCTGGATCTGTTATTCTCTTACCAACTTCATAGACGTTTTTGTTGGCAGGGCTGGAGGCGTGTATCTCAGCGTACGGCGCGTCTCTGTGAGTGGGAGACTTCATCTCCACGTAGCCGCACTCCGAGCTCTTGGTCAGCAGCAGAGGAGGGTCTTTGATGGTGGCGTATGGGTTCTCTGAGCTGTTTAGAGAGCTGGAGCTGGCGTGATAGGGCATGCTCTTCACCAGATCTACAGACAGAGAGAAGGGGTCAAATCATCACACTGTGTGAAGGCATTTACTCACCCTCAAACCTAGGGCTGGGAAAATAAATCGATGCATGGCGAATCAAGAAATGAGCCCGCATCGATTCTGAGATTTTCCGAATGCATCGCGATTCTTTCTCGAGTCGATTCTGAGCTTAGTTTTGAACAGCAGATGGCGCTGCATGCTTTAGAAACAGCCGTACTCTGCTCGTTTCCAAATCCTTACACACACTTGAAAAATAATCATTCATAAAATTTGAAAAGGTTGAAGCAAATTACAAAGGTGCTCACAGTGGGCTGTGTTTACATTCATCTCGTGTCATAAAAGCATTCTGGGCCGAGGTGAAATTACAGACTCAGCCGAACGCACAAGCGCTCATCTTGTGCGGATAAAAACTAGAGTAGAGCGCCATCTGCCATTAAAATCTAACCTCAGAATTGATTCCAAAGAGAATCGCCATGCATTCAGAAGATCTCAGAATCGAACCAAAAATCGATTCTGCATTGATTTATCGTCGCAGCCCTGCTCAAACCTGTATGCCTTCTTCACAAAGCAAAGAACACGCAAGGGTGCAAACAACACTGCACCCCACTGACATTTTTCAAAATATTGTCTTTTGTGTCCACAGAAGAAATGCATACGTTTCATGAGTAAATGAGAGAATTTTCTCTTTGCTTGCTAAATGATCATTTACCTCGCAGTGACTTTCCCATGTAACGCCTGTCAACTCCATAAGCTCCTAATAAGAGAATCAAGACAGAAGAAGTTAAACTAATGCAGTCCTTTTGTTGACACAGCTTACAGCTGCAAATGCTACGAATGCTGCATGTGAAATGACGAGTGTTTGCACAGAGGTGGTCAGGAAACGAGTCACCGCACAGTTAGTCATCTGTAAGTTTTTGTTAACGCTGGGCTACTGAGCATTATCGTGTCAAATGTTTGGCTGCTGTGTTTGTTGTGATCATGGTGGTTGGATGTCACACCGAGCTCATTGAAGGATCCTCCTTGTTTCCAGTCAGCCGGTAGAGTTCCTGTGTGATCCAGCAGGGAAAGACGTTTCCTCGGATCAGCGTTCTTCACATTCACAAACAACTGATTGTTCTTCGGCTGTCAGGCAGAAGAAAATCAACAATTATAGCAAGTGTCTTTCTACAACGTTCCACATTATTCCTCAATTCTGGTCAGCTTCTGCTCCTGAAACTATGAGTTAGAATGGTGGTTTTGGATTCTTGATTAAATAAAGCCTGCGGTCAACATTCCATTTTCGTGTACATTTTGTACAAAATGACACACCTTATTTTACTCCAAAATATATCAAAAAATGCTTCAAACAACACATAGGCAAGGGAATCAGTGGAAAAGCTGTATTCAGCAGCAGTATCTTGTAAACAGCCCAGAATATTAGTCCTTTATTCCCAGAGCTGTCTGTTAGTAGAGTAGCACCTCTCCATAGGGCAGGTTGTTGGCGTGAGGAGGGCTGCTGCACTGGGTCAGTGTGTGGTAGCTGGGGTTGGAGAAATAGTTACTGTTGGGAAGGACGTCAGTCTGCGGGAGCGACTCTACAAACAGGAAACACATCACACACACACGTCTCCTCATGAGAATTACACAGGAAATCGTAAGAATGAGAAGAAATGTCATCGTGATGCTGACCTGCGATGGCGTAATCGGTGTTGGCCCTCATGGTAGGTGTGTACGTGACCGCAGGCATCGTGGATTCTTTGCCTTTCTGTTTCTTGCGGTAAATGATGAAGAGGAGGAGGAGGATGAGCACGAGGAGCACCAGAACGATGATTCCTGCAATCGCACTGATCTGATACGAGTCCACAGGCACAGCGGCGCTCGTCAAGCTGTTGAGATTTCCTACGATGATCACGCCGGCTGAGAAAGGCAGCAAACTTCAGAGTCACGCAGTCAAAGAGCAACACGAGAGTATCCCACTGAGCGAAACCTCACTGTGCGTCCATGTGATGGAACCAGAGGGTCAGTGTAGCCGTGAAGCATCTACACTGGACATACAGTGCCTTGCAAAAGTATTCATTTCATTTTTTTTCCCCGTTTTGTTAAGTCGCAGCCTTATGTTAAACTGCTTTAAAATACTTTTTTTCCACATCAATCTACACTCCATACACCATAATGACAAAGCACAAAACAAACTTGTGACAACTTTGCACATTTTAATTAAAATAAAACACTGAAATAAGTACATTGCATAATGATTCAAACCCTTTAACTCAGTACTTAGTTGAAGCACATTTTCAGGTTTCTCCAGAAATGTTTGATTGGGTTCAATCCCAGGCTGTGACTGGGCCACTCAAGGACATTCACAGAGTTGTCTATAAGCCACTCTTGCTGTGTGCTTAGGGTCATTGTCCGGTTGGAAGGTGAACCTTCTGCCCAGTCTGAGGTTCTGAGTGCTCTCAGAACTAGGTTTTCATTAAGGTTATCTCAATATTTTGGTGCATTGAGCTTTTCTTCTACCTGGACGAGTCCCTCAGTCCCTGCCGCTGAACAACAGCCCCACAGCATGAGGCTGCTGCCAGCACACTTTACTTTTGGGATGTAACTCTGCAGGTGATAAGCAGTGGAGACTACAGAGCAGAATTTTTTCTGAACTCTTCCCCAGAAGTGTGGCTTGATGCAATCCTGTCTCTGAGCACTAGAGGCAGTTCTTTTGACCTCAGGGATTGGTTTTTGCTCTGATATGCATTATCAGCTGTTAGACCTTTTATTAAGACATGTGCCTTTCCGAATCATACCCATTCAATTGAATTTGCCACATTTACAAGCAACATGAATACTCTTGAGTTAAATTTAAAGTGCCCCAGAAAAGGGTATGAATACTTATGCAATGGAATCATTTCATTTTTTATTTCTAACAAATTTGCAAAGATTGATGTGGAAAAAAAGCAATATAAAGCAGTTTAACATAAGGCTGTAACAAAACGTGAAAAAAAAAAAAAAAATGAAGGGGTATGAATACTTTTGCAAGGCACTGTATCTATTTCTGATATTGAGATTTTTTTTTGCTATTCTAAAACAGCCCGTTCATACCAATGGATACAAAGGAAACAAAGATTCTACCTACAGCGGGTAAAATAAGTATTGAACACATCACCATTTTTCTCAGTAAATATATATAAGGTGCTGTTGACTTGAAATTTTCACCAGATGTCGGTAACAACCAAAGTAATCCATACATACAAAGAAAACAAAACAAATAAGTTCAGAAATTAAGTTCTGTGTAATAAAGTGGAATGACACAGGGAAAAAGTATTGAACACATGAAGAAAGGGAGGTGCAAAAAGGCATGGAAAGCAAGACACTGGCAGAAATCTATCAGTAATTAGAAAGCAATCCTACCCTCGTCAGTGGAAATTAATATTAGCTTCAGTTCCAACACCTACAGTACCAGGATGATGAAGATAAAACAAGGGTGGACATTTCTGCAAGACAATGATCCCAAACACAGCCAAGGAAACTCTCGACTGGTTTCAGAGAAAGAAAATAAAGCTGCTAGAATGGCCAGCCAATCACCTGACTTGAGTCCAACAGAAAATAAGAACTAAAGGTCAGAGTTCATAGAAGAGGCCAACAGAACCTTCAAGAATCTGTGGAAGAATGGACCAAAATGAGCAACGCATGCCACTAGATTCTCCATACAGCTGTCATTACCAACAAAGGCTTTTGTACGAAGTATTAAATACATTTCAGTAGTTAGTAATACTTTTTCCCTGTGTCATTCCATTTTATTACACAACTTAATTTAACTTAAATTAACTTATTAGTTTTGTTTTCTTTGAATTTATGGGTTACTTGGGTTGTTACCGACATCTGGTGAAAATTTCATGTCAACAGCAACTTCAGAAATATATTTACTGAGAAAAATGATGACATGTTCTATACTTATTTTACCCGCTGTATTTAATAACTGCAAGTGCTAATGTAAGCTTACCCTGGTCACAGCGTGTGCCTTTCCAGCCAGGGTTACAGTAGCAGGTGCCAGTCATGTGATCACAGGTGGAGTTATTGAGACATTCGCACACCTGCCGACAGCCGTATCCGTACGTACCTGCAGGACATTCTGGAAGCCATTGGAAAACCGTGGATCAGACGCAGACTCGAGCGTGTGCTTGAAAACATCAAAGGACCAGCTCTGCTTTCATACTCACTCTGTTCACAGTGGCGTCCCATGAAGCCAGTGCGGCAGGTGCACTGACCGGAGATGTGATTGCAGTCTGCGCCGTTCTCACACTGACATGCCTGAACGCAGTCCTTGCCGTAGAAGCCCAGCGGACAGCCTGCAGGACACAGCAGCACCATGGGGTCAGTCATGAGCGCACAGGCTGGAGGTCAGAGGTGATGAGTTGTACTCACGCTGTGTGCAGTACAGCCCCGTCCAGCCGGCTGTACACTTACACTCGCCGTCATACGCGCTGCAGAACGCCCCATTGTGACAGTTACAGGTGTGGATGCAGTTGGGACCCCACTGACCTGGGGGACACGCTACGGGTGAACACACATACACGTCACATTTGGTCAAAAATGATGGGAAAACATCAATCGTGTAGAAAAGTACTTTACATTTAAAATAACAATTTTCAGCACCAGTCTTCAGTCACATGACCCTTCCGAAATCATTCTAATATGCTGACTTGCTGCTCAAGAAACATTATTAAAAAGTTTTTATACTGAAAACAGTTTTTGCTGTTTAATAGTTTTGTGAAAGCTGTTCTACCATTCAAAACTTGAGGGTTAGATTCAATACTTAATTCATTTAATCCCACATTTTTCTCAGACATGAAAACATCAAATTATGTGTCGTTAGTAACCCCTTGAAATAATCAATAATTATTTTTTGACATTTTTATGGAAAAGTGCGTGTTTTATGGTTGGTCACTATTGTGACCGGTGGGATTAAATATTTTTATTTACACAAGGACGCATTCAATTAATCAAAAGTTACAATAAAGACATTATTAACGTAACAAAATATTTCCATTTCAAATTCATGGTGTTCATTGAACTTTCTATTCATCAAAGCATCTTGGGGGGAAAAAAAATGTATAATGGTTTCCACAAAAACATGAACCTACAAAAACAGTTTTACTGCATTTTTTCACTAAATAAAATGCAGCCTTGGTGAGCAGAAGTAACTTCTTTCAAAAACAAAAAAAATCATAATTGTTGCAAACTTTTGACAGGTACAGGTGCATCTCAATAAATTAGAATGTCGTGGAAAAGTTCATTTATTTCAGTAATTCAACTCAAATTGTGAAACTCGTGTATTAAATAAATTCAATGCACACAGACTGAAGTAGTTTAAGTCTTTGGTTCTTTTAATTGTGATGATTTTGGCTCACATTTAACAAAAACCCACCAATTCACTATCTCAACAAATTAGAATACTTCATAAGACCAATAAAAAAAAAACATTTTTAGTGAATTGTTGGCCTTCTGGAAAGTATGTTCATTTACTGTACATTTACTCAATACTTGGTAGGGGCTCCTTTTGCTTTAATTACTGCCTCAATTCGGCGTGGCATGGAGGTGATCAGTTTGTGGCACTGCTGAGGTGGTATGGAAGCCCAGGTTTCTTTGACCGTGTCCTTCAGCTCATCTGCATTTTTTGGTCTCTTGTTTCTCATTTTCCTCTTGACAATACCTGACAATAAGTTCAGGTCTGGTGAGTTTGCTGGCCAGTCAAGCACACCAACACCATGGTCATGTAACCAACTTTTGGTGCTTTTGGCAGTGTTCTGCAGTTCTCTCGGTTGGAGAGACCTTGGTTGGCATCTTTTTCTTCCACACTTTTTCCTTCCACTCAACTTTCTGTTAACATGCTTGGATACAGCACTCTGTGAACAGCCAGCTTCTTTGGCAATGAATGTTTGTGGCTTACCCTCCTTGTGAAGGGTGTCAATGATTATCTTCTGGACAACTGTCAGATCAGCAGTCTTCCCCATGATTGTGTAGCCTAGTGAACCAAACTGAGAGGCCATTATGAAGGCTCAGGAAACCTTTGCAGTTGTTTTGAGTTGATTAGCTGATTGGCATGTCACCATATTCTAATTTGTTGAGATAGTGAATTGGTGGGTTTTTGTTAAATGTGAGCCAAAATCATCACAATTAAAAGAACCAAAGACTTAAACTACTTCAGTCTGTGTGCATTGAATTTATTTAATACACGAGTTTCACAATTTGAGTTGAATTACTGAAATAAATTAACTTTTCCACGACATTCTAATTTATTGAGATGCACCTGTAGTGTGCATAAAACATCAGCAGATCATACGTTTCATTATTGTTACTCTTTATGATCAGCAGGGGGCGCTAGAGACCACAGACACTCAATGAGATCAAAGCACAAAGAGGGCATGATTAAAACGAAGTCATGGGTAAAAACAAACTCTGTTCCTAATGCTCCTGAGTGATAAACTTTCACTGAGCATCGTCTTTATATGGACCATCCACTTACAGGAGAAGAGCTACATCAGCTGAGCCAATTAAAGGAACTGCATGGGATTGTTTGTCCAGATGTGGGAAGTAATATTTTCTATAATTTACAACAACCCAGCAGTTACATGCTATATATTATTCAGGAGGATAACACTCCACTATTTTTTTTACTAAAAAATCTCAAACAATGTATTTGATAAGTGCTATGTCATTAGACACATCAGTAAACATCTGTAATGGTCAAACTACAAAATCATATCACATCACATTATACAATGCTCGAGACCCAACATCTGCTATAAATTACAGATGGTGAGGATTTCCAGTCAGGATTTAGACCATATCATAGTACTGAGACTGCTCTAATTAGAGTTACAAATCATCCGATCGTGGTTGTATCTATCTATTAGTGCTACTGGATCTTAGCGCTGCATTCGACACTATCGACCACAACATTCTTTTGAATAGACTAGAACATTATGTTGGCATTAGTGGATTTACATTGGCATGGTTCAAATCATACTTATCTGAATTCGTAGCAGTAAATGAAGAGGTATCATATCGATCAAAAGTGCAGTATGGAGTACCTCAAGGCTCAGTACTAGGGCCATTACTTTTCATGCTCTAAATGTTACCCTTGGGAGATATCATCAGAAAACATGGTGTTATGCTGATGATACTATATACTCTATATTTCTTCGAGGCCCGGTGAAACATACCAATTTGCAAAACTGAATGCATAGTTGATATTAAAAACTGGATGACTAGTATTTTAACTGAAAAATGGACTGTTTGCTATTGTCCTCTTTTTAGAACTAAACAGCAGAATTAAATTTTGTTTGCATTATAGTGTTAAGCAGGAAAATAGTGTGTCAGTAAAGCTGATTTTACAATCTGTATTGTATAAAGTGCTATATAAATAAAGGTGGCTTGACTTAAGTTGTTTGAAGAGGAAAAAAGCTTTGAAAAGATCTTAAGACATGCCAGACATCAGACTGCCCTACTAAACCCCCCTGACCCAGAGATTCAAACCTGACAGCTGCAGAACTGTGTGTAATATGAGAGAAAGTGTGTAGACAGCCACAATCTCTTCAGGCACAAAGAGAAAGGCCAACATTAAGGCTGACGATACACGGGGCAACTTTGAGCAATTTTGCTTGGGCACTTTCCCCATTGAGAATGGGTAACAAATTTCTATCTGGATAATTTAGATCGGTCGTGGGCTCTGTCTCTCACCTGGTTGCCCGTTGACAGCAACCTTTCTCAAAAAGTTGCCCCGTGTATCATCAGCCTAAGTCACCTGATGATCAGAAACCTAAAGAAGTTGTTTTGTCATCCGATGAGATGAGCTGAAGTTGGGATGGAAACAAAATGCTGTCAATCAAACAGCCGAGCACTAAAACACAACAGCATCACTGTTCTGAGCGGCCTTATGTCTCGCTTGGGACAAAGAGGATTAAGTAAGTAAGTAATCTCTGTTCTGAACCCTGAAGAACCTCATTTATGATGTTTTTTTATAAGATTCACCCAAAACACAGCGAACCACTATAAAGAAGTGATTCTGTATTTTACAAAGAGCCTGACATGAATCGGTGTGTAAGGCAGAATATGACAGAGCAAGAGCTTTAGTGTTTTTAGTGTGATTGCACAGAATACTGACGCTGTGAGCAGTCACTGCCGATCCAGCCGGGGTAACACTGACACGAGCCGTCGATGGGGTTACATGTGCCGTTATTAGTGCAGGTGCAGCTCCACGCGCAGTGCTTACCGAACCTGCCACTGGGACACACTGCAGACAGACAGACAGACGTCAACACTACCGTCAGCTGACACAACCACAGCACAGATACTGGACAATGGAAATGGAAAACATTACAGAAAGAACTGAAAGAATAAATGGCATGGAGAAGACGCACTCCCCATGTAAGCCAGACTATCTGACAGCTGTACTGTAGAAGTGAGTGAGAGCGGCGTGTCTTGCCTTCATTGCAGAGCGCCCCTTTGAACCCGGACAGACAGTCACACTGGCCAGTCACGTGGTGACAGGGGCCATTGCTGTGGACGCAGTGCGGACAGGTCTGGCTACAGCGGTGGCCAAAGAAACCCGGAGAACAGACTGGGAGCACGTGGGGAAAACATGAGGAGAACAGAGCGGATGAGAAAACAGACACGGCACGGCACAGAGGGACAGATAGGCATGTGGTGTGTTTGAGCACTCACTGCGCTGGCAGGTGGCTCCTCTGAATCCAGGCGCACACTCACACGCACCCTCGTCCGGCGAACACGACGCTCCGTTCTTACAGTTACAGGACAGAGAGCAGTTGGGCCCCCAGCGGCCCTCAGCGCACACACTGTCACAGTGAATGCCTGTGAGAAACACACACACAAACACATCACTTTAGAGTCACAGAAAGAAACATCTCTCAATTGCTGCTTCACAACACTTACGGTAACACTTTACATAAAGCCTCTATATATTATGCATTATTTATGCCTTTTAATGCACATTTTAACACATTTATGATCTCTTCAATAACTACAACCACAGATATAATTATGATGATTATCTATTCATTGTTACACCTTTAGAAAGTATAATGTCACATAACATGGTCTATCAAACACACACAACAAAGAAGATAAAGGTAAACAGTTTTTAATGAATCCACACAGAGGGTAGTTCAAAGCAGGCAGGCTGTAGACACACATATAACATCAACATACACAATACCGGACAAAGGAGAACTGAACAGGCTATAACTAAAGTAGGGTTGCTAACGAGGGACTGACAGGTGAGGATGATCAACTAAAGAAGACACGGGTGAACTGACTAACCTAATCAAACACGGGGGAAAAACTGGGTCACACTGAGCACATGGGGAATGAAAACACAAAACGTCCATGGGTTTGACATATAATGCATTAAAACACATGACAAACCTTCATTATAATGCATTTACAATTATTTATGAAGAGATATAATGCATTAAAATGTACATTATGAATCTTTTTTTTATAATGCATCAAACAAAAAGGATTTAAGTAAAGTGTTACCAACTTCACTTCTCTTACAGAATTCGATGTTTTGTATTGAGAACTATTATAAGTTCATGAGTTCACCTGCCCATCCATTCTTGATAAATGATAGTTGGTGAATTGCTGTGCTGACCTGAGCGAACCCCCAGACTACGAGAGTGACTAGAATGAGGTAGCTTGGAATGGGATGAGATGGGATGATGGAAAGCCATCGCTGGTGCAGATCAGTGACTCATGATGATGACGTACAGTTTTGTTAAGCTTTTTAAAGCTCTCAATTAACTGATTCATAAAATGATTCGCTGTTTTGAAGCACTGAAAACTCCACCAGCTGCACCGTCTCAAAGCACTGTAAATGCAACAAAACTCAGACTAACACGTATAATGACACAGTTTACAAACTAATTAACAGTTTTCAAGAAAGTGTAATCTATTACAAGTAATCTGCAAATAATTAAATTAAATACCATTAAATATGAAGTGTCAGTAAAATTTGTTTTATTAATTTGTAGTCCTTGTTTTGTGTCATTAGGCACTGCTTGGCAAACTAGGTCAGTTAGAAGCAATTAAGTATCATTTTCCCTTGTGTATTATATGGGCATAAGTATTGAAATTCATTAACTTATTTAAATATGGACCTGCATTATAAAACTGACCTGAGATCAGTTAAAATCCATTAAACACTCATTCATGGGATCGCCAGATTAACGCCATCGAGCGGCTAGCACACTGGATTTTAAAATGTTTCGATGCAAAATTTTGCCTCATTTGCGAAAATCCCATACATGCATACAATCTTTGAACCACTGATTCAAACTGATCTAAGATTCATAAATATTACAAAGCTTTATGTAGCAATGTTTCAAAAGGGCCCATCACTACTGACGGGACTAAATAATTAGGCTTCTCCAGAACCTATGTTTTGAACTTCATTTCATATCCCTTCATCTCCTAATGGTGTGCACACACACATACTGGCTCAGTGAATGAACAATTAAAGCCAATCAAAAGTCCATGCTGCTGTAAAGAGCTTGATCACTGGAAGTGGCAGAAGACGTAAGCGCAGAGCGTGCTTATAATAAGCAGAAGGATATCATGTGCTGGTGTGCTAATATAGTTATTGTTATGGTTATCATTGTTGGTGTGAACTGGTCATAACCCAGTGACCGTCAGGACAAATGATTACACGCAAGTCTGGAGCTCAGTCCGAGCGCAGCGCTGAAGTGGCTCTGTGCTGCCAGAACACAGACAAAAGCTCTTTTGAGAGCGAGTGTGTGTTGCTAGGAGCTGGAGATCATTCTAGTGCAGCGGCCCTGAGGAAACACCACCGAGAGCATCAGTATGCTGCCGGAGTTCAGCGCAAAGCCCAGGAATGTGTGGGAGAGAACACCACCAGTGTTGCCAACTGCTTTCAATTGAAAGTAGCTAAAACTGGTAGCTAAATGTCACTAGATGACATCACAATGGCAAATTCACTGATCTATATAAAGATGAACGTAGATCAGTGGGCAAGATGAGAACTTAGATGAGGTTTGTCCAAGAAGTTGCTATATTTGTCCCTAAACTTTTGAAAAAAGTCTCAAAAGGGGCGGGGAAGTCGCTAAATCTAGCTACAAAGTAGCTAAATTGGCAACACTGAACACCACACGCTGTACAAACATCATAACACATCTACACAAACACTGACATGACCTGCTGCTGATACACTTAGGGATACTTCATCACAAAATAAAAATTTGCTCCCAACCCGTATGAGTTTAAAAGAATGTTGGTAACCAAACAATTGCCTTTCCGCATTGACTTTCAAAGTATGGAAAAAAATTACTATGGAAGTCAATGGTGTCACGGTTATGTTCTGTTTTGGTTTAGTTTTCCATGTGTTTCTGATTCAGTTCCTCATTAGTTTCCATGGTTTTGGATTAATTACTCTACACCTGTTTCAGTTCTCCCTGATTACTTTTCTAGTATTTAAGTCCTGTGTTCTCCCCTGTTCTGTTGTCTGCAATTATTTGTGCTTATGTGGTTGTGGATTTTCCTGTGGATTATAATTAAATATTATTCCTTTGTCATGTGCTTACTTCTACAGCCACTGCATGACAAATGGGGACCAGCAATCGTTTGGTTACCAACATTCTTCAAAATATCTTTTGTAAGAAACCTACAGGTTTGGATCAACTTGAGGGAGAGTAGATGATTCATTTTCAACTGTACCTTTAGCAGGATATTGCTGTTAATCATATCAATAAATATTTTTTAAATGGTCATTGAAGTTGTTAAATCTTATGCAGGACAAGTGGTTTTGGGTGGATGGACAGTAAAGCTGTAACCACATATTTAGGATTCAGAGTTTATAAAAACCTTAAAGCCCACTACTCTGAGAACTGGCTTTGGCTGATCCAATTCAGCTGTTTTGGGCCAGCGGAGGGAAACCGCTTCTGAGAAGCGTGAGGCTCAGCTGCTTTACCTGTCCATCCGGCTAGACAGCGGCAGTGTCCGGTGGAGGGGTGACATCCGTCTGCATGACTGCAGTCACAGCGCTCGCGACAGTCCAGTCCATACGTCCCATCCTGCATCAGCCCACAACAGCACACTTCACTCAACACAAACTCACTCAACACAATATTGAGTTCACTCTATCAGTGAACTCAATATCAAAACACACTTGAGATCTTTGGCATAGCAGAGCTAAAGATTAGGATTACAGGTTACTGTTGTGATGCCTTGCGAGTCAAAAATATGGAAAATAATTATAAGTGAGCAAATCAATTTTCTCTATATATTTTCATTTACAAAAATAATGTATAGCTATAACACATAAAATACCACGGCTGACTGAGAGACGGCAAATCTGACATCTTTCTCAATCAATATCCCAATATTTTTTCTCTGTTGTTGTAGAAACATTACTGTGTTTTCTCTTTAGCTATTAGAGAAAACAGGAACACAAAATTACATTTGTTATAATTTCTCCACTGTATAGGTTTACCTAACCATGATGACTTCATTTCTGAGAACCCTGGAAACGGGGTCCAAATGAGAAGGTCACAGAGTTGGCTTTGACTGTGTGAATGGGTTCAGTATGAGGTTTGGTGTTTCTGGGCTGAGATGTTGGGGATGTTGGTGATGAGCTGACCTGACAGTGTTGATCGCAGCGGTCTCCTCTCCAGCCCGGGGTACAGGAGCACCTCCCGTCCAGAGCGCTGCAGGCGCCTCCGCTCCCACACACACACGTCAGGTTACACCCCAGACCCCACCAGCCGCTGGGGCAGTTAATGGAGCAATCCACCCCGTGCCACCCTGACACCAAACACAAAACACCTTCATTTGTCTTCTGAGGAGGAACTCGTTTCTCACGGGTTTGGAACGACATGAGGGTGAGAGAATCATGACAGAATTTTCATTTTGGAGTGATCGATGCTTTTAAAGGGGTCATGACAAGAGAAATCAAATTTGCCTTGATCTTTTGCCATATAAGAGGTCTTTGTAGCTTTAAATCATCCTGCAAGTTTCATAGCTTAAAACCTCCTCCTCATTATAAACAAAGCATTTATTTAATCAAGCTCAGAAACGGCTCGTTTGGATCTGAGGGGCAAGATGACATCATGGGGGAACAAATATTTGCATAAACACGCCTCCAGAGCAGGATATCGACGAATAGTCTTCTTCTCTCAGCATAGGCCCCGCCCACTGGCGTTCATCCACTAACGGCTGACACTTGATCATGCTGAATGAGAGAGTCGTGTCGCGTCAAGAGCAAATAGAAATCACAATCACTGAACTATCTTGTCTACACTGGATACAGTAAACAGATGCGGTTCACTTTCTGACACAGTCCACACTCGAATCTGTCGTCAGGACAAATGCAGTGAAAGAACATTCGCTTTGACGCCCTTGGCTTAAACATCTCGGTTTTTGTATAGATATCAGAAGGATGTTAAGGAACAAGTGGATAGTTTATTTTAATGGCGTCCTGGAACGTGTCTGAGGATTGATCGGAGCATTTTGTTTCGTAAACGAGGCACGGTGTCATGTAGAGTCACAAAGAAACATTTGTTGAAACATGAAGCACTGCTAGATCTGACTGCAGCTGCATCACAAACCATAAGTACATGATTTCTTAATGCTTTGTCTGGAAATGACCATTTTATTTTGATCATGTTGTCAGAACACTTATGAGGGGGCGTTGATAGTGTTCCCTATGTAGTGACATTAGCCAATCATAACAGCGGCTGATTACTGACGAGCCTTAAAGGACACGCCCCTTAAAACAGCTCGTTTTAGACAGAGGGTCAGAATGAGGGTTGAAAATAGTCTTTTCCACATATTTGTTTGTTTTTTTGTGCAAACAACTTTATTAAAACTATAAGTAAACCTCAAGGAACATATTAAAATAATAACAAAAGCTGATGTCATGAGCCCTTTAACGGAGCGGGGTCTGAGGTGAATTACCTGCTTGACAGGAGCAGGATCCGTCGATGGGTGAGCAAGCGGCTGCGTTCTTACAGGAGCACACTGAGCTGCAGTTGATGCCATAGCTGCCAGAGGGACAGGGAGCGGAGCAATCTGAGCCCTGCAGTCACGTCACACTTTAGTGTTTGACTCCGGCACACACAGAGACACACACACACACACACATAGAGACACACACACACACACACAGAGACACACACACACAGACACACACACACACACACACACACACAGAGAGAGAGAGAGACACACACACACACACACACACACAGAGAGAGAGAGAGACACACACACACACACACACACACAGAGAGAGAGAGAGACACACACACACACACACACACACAGAGAGAGAGAGAGACACACACACACACACACACACACAGAGAGAGAGAGAGACACACACACACACACACACACACAGAGAGAGAGAGAGACACACACACACACACACACACACAGAGAGAGAGAGAGACACACACACACACACACACACACAGAGAGAGAGAGAGACACACACACACACACACACACACAGAGAGAGAGAGAGACACACACACACACACACACACACAGAGAGAGAGAGAGACACACACACACACACACACACACAGAGAGAGAGAGAGAGACACACACACATACACAAACACACACAGAGAGAGAGAGACACACACATACACACACAGAGACACACACACACAGAGTGTCTTTATGAAGCTGTACCTTGAATCCGGGCGCGCAGACACACTCCCCGCTCACGCTGTGGCAGTCGGCTCCGTTCTGACAGCGGCAGATCTGCTGACACGCCTCGCCATATAAACCAGGAGCACACGTCTCGTTACAGTACAAGCCCGACCAGCCCGGGCCGCACAAACACTCGCCCGACATGGGGTGACAGCTGAGAGACACACAGCCATTAACTGCAGCTGCTGCTGTCACTAAACACAGCCCCACACTGCAGCATCTCCATATCTGACATTAAACCATTTAGTAAAGCACCTCCTGAAGATCGCAACATATCATCATTGCGGTTAATAGTGTTCACCGTCTGTTTGATTACATGTCATTAACTGCTTGTTTTTTACTGTACATTTCTGCCATATGGACATCAACTTGAGATCATCACCACTGATAAGCTATTACTAATATAATGTAGAAACTTTCATTTTCTGTGAAGCTGCTTTGCAACTATTTGCATCGTGAAAAGCGCTATATAAATAAACTTGAATTGAATTGAATTTCATATTTCAGTCATTTACAATTTCAACGGCTTGCACACAAAATCTTTACTTGTCACACAGTTTCTGAAAGCTGACACATTTGCACACCTTTATTTACCCCAAACCCAAAGAGATCTGCTACATCTGCATACTGATTTGTATAACCCAGATAAAAGGGGGAATTTCTAATTATTTAATACATCTTGGGACCCTCTACTTGATCTGTGCAATAATGTTAACATAATTGAGTAAGTTGGGAATGGGGGATGGAAGAGCTTGTGGAAGATTTCAGAGCAGAAGAACACTGATGGAGAAGCTTCATCTGCAACCGATATATAGGAGGTTTACTGACCTGTTCATTACAGTTCTTTTCAACTGCTTACACACTAAATCTTGACTTGTCACAGTTTCTGAAAGCTGACACTCAAACAGCAGAAGCACACACCAAATCTGCAAAACCAGACACTAATTCTCAGCCTTTGACTTTTTGCAAGACACAACACACAATTCTCTATGTAACACAAAAATCTAACAGGAATTAATATTATTGCAAAGATGTTTGCAAATGTTTGCTTTTGAGATGTGTGTGTGATATTTTGAATGCAGTGCTTCGTTCTGCAAGAGATGTGAGGCATTTTGTGTGTGCAATTCTTGGATTTGTGTGTAAAGTTTTGAAAAAAAGAGTCAAAGGCAGAGAATTAGTGTATGTTTTTGCAGATTTGGTGTGTGCTTCTGCTGTTTGAGTGTCAGCTTTCAGAAACTGTGTGACGAGTGAAGATTTTGTGTGTAAGCAGTTGAAAAAAACTGTAATGGTTATATGACATGCAGGTAAACCAAAAAAATATTTTTACTAAGTTTAAAATGTTTGTCTTTATTTTAAAATGATTTATTTACAGTATAAGGCTGTATGATTTGGCCAGAAATGTTATTTTGATTATTAAACTGCTGCCAGTTCATTTCTACAGTAGTTGTTTTTTAAATGTGTTCACATGGGTTCAGTCTTCACAAGAATCAAATCTTCACACGGTCTTTACAAGAACCATCTGAACAGAGTAAAAACAATCAAACAAACAACAACAGTCTTTGCAGAGACGTTGCAGCTTTACTTTTAAGTGGACTCAAACCTCATTTTGTAGGTGAGAGTTTCTCAGTCCACATCACATTTTTAGGAAACAATCAATTTGAATTATAATGATTGCTTTGAATTGTTTTTTTATTTTTAACTCTAATTATTAAAAAATGAAGAGAGAGGTATATTATTATTGAATTAATACTTCTGTACAAACATGTCAGGGTTCTGCCCTGACACTCTGTTTGTCTGGTCTTTTTGTATTTCATGTCTATGTCTTGTGTTTCAATACACATGGCTTTGTTTTTGACTGCCATGTGCCCTTCTAGTCCCTCCTCCTTGTTTCCCCTTTACCACACCCTCTTGTTAGCCCTTGTCTAGTCCTTGTTAGTCTAATTGTGCTCACCTGTTCCTCGTGTGCTTTCCTCCCTATTTATAGTTCCCCCATGCCCTCTTGTCTTTGCCGGTTTGTAGTCATTTTCACGCTCACTTTCTGTGGAAGTGGCTGAGTATTTGTTCCTTTTCCCTTGCCTTATTTGTGTCGTGCCCTAGTCTTGTCAAGTCCCTCGTAATTCTATGTTTTAGTCTTGCTCCTTGTTTTTGGATTTTGTTTTTGTTGCTTTCATCTTAGTATTCATCTAGTTCGTCTAGTCCTGATCTTTTGTTTGCAGTTTTGGTCAATTAGTAATTCCCTTTTAACTATTTATTTAGTTACTTTACTTTTTATCAGTTCTTTAGGTTTGTCTATCCCCTTGCCTGTTTTAGAGTTAATTTGTGTCCCTGTGGAGCCTTGTCCTGTCTTGTTTTGTTGTTCTGTTAGAGTTCCTGCCCGCTGGTTCCTTCTGCCTGGCACCTGGACTACTTCAGAGTCTGCGGACATCAAGTATCTGAACTCAGCTTTATGGTGTCTTGCTTTGGTCTTTCCCATCTGCCTGGTCTTGCCGCTCTCTCTGTAGCTCATCTGCCAGTGGATCTCTGATGTTGTTCCAGCGGTCTTCCCTAGCTGCTTCATCTCTGTTCCCTGTGTCCCTGCTGTTGATTCACCTACGCACCTCACTAACCCTTTGTATCTGTCTGTTTTGTAAAAAAAAAAACAGCGGTTTGGGAGAGCGAAACTGATATTTTTTTAAACCGGGTCCCAGAGTGGATAAATCTGAAAGCGCTGCCCTTGTGTTTTCGTGTGGACAGCGAATCCCTATATTTTCTGAAACGATGACATCATCAGCCCACGTCTCACCCCTAGTCAGACACCGCTACGTCACGTAACAGCAACAAAAACATGAACAAACACTGAACGATTGTCTTTTTATTAACGAACATTAACGCATAGTCCAAGTCTTCTTCTCCGTTTTAGTGTATCTCTGTGGCAGAATTACAGCGCCACATACTGGTCTGGCATGTATACTACATCGTTTTGTGTCAGTTTCGTGTGGACGCAGATATTTCTTGAGATAAGGAGAAAAAAAAGATCGGATAGGGAAAGCTCTGGCTTCATGTGGACGTAGCCTGAGTCTATATTGTCCAGTACCTGTGGACAGAGCAGCTGTGAAGAGCGTTTGAGCAGCTGCTGTCACATGTGGTGCGTCAGCTGTGCACGTCTGTCTGATCTCAACAATGAGACCCTGTGTGAGTGTGTGTGTGTGTGTGTGTGTGTGTGTGTGTGTGTGTGTCTCTCTAAACACACCACTACTTCAAAAAATAACAACACACACACACACATCAACCTCAGCAACCTGTTACAGCTAGCCGGTTTCAGTGGCCATTTAGGTAAGCTTGAGTTTATTTTGAGCAAACTTTTTTTTTCTTTTATTCTGGTTAAGCGACTGCAAATCAAAACTTACAAAATGTGACATATAAGGAATCTGACATATATCTGAATTCACTCCCCCGTATCTCTTGCACCAAATTAAAGCAGTTCACACTGAAAGAATTGCCCAGCTTTTGCTGCTAATCATTTATTACATTTATTTTATATGAATTCTATATGTTATATCTTTAATGCAATACACATAAGCAATTAATCAGCTTTAATTCAAACAAACATAAATACATACATAAAAAATAAGCTTTAGAATATATAATGCTTTAAACAGCTAGACTTTTCTTTTAAGCTCTTTGTGAACCTTTATAACTAAAATAAATTGATTTGAGTTGATTCACTTGCATTAATTAAGTCAGGGCCCGTATTCACAAAACATTTGATCTTACCAGTGAGCGTTCTCCTAAATAGCAGTAAAAGTTTTTAGCTAAGAGTTTTCTTTTAAAACCTATTCACAAAGCTGCTGAGACAAACTTGCACGAAGGAATAGAGAGAAGTGTTAGGCTCAGAGTAAGGGGTAAGGGGCTGACCTCATTGCTATGGATGATGTCAGCTTGCTTATTAACCATGCACACAGTGATTGGCTGATAGGGGCAGGCTCTGTCAGAGATTTATACATAGAAATATTGTAGAGCACAATGTTATGTTGCAATATTCAAATAAAGGTTTAAAAATAAAAATGTTAATTGCCACATTCAAATAAAGATTTTAAAATGCAAATTAAAATGTCACTAATTAAACAATATAATATACGTATATGTATATGTTCAGCTAATTGTCAGCCTGTATGCTTCTCGTAGACAAATTAATGAATATGCATATAAACAGCCTTTTAATTAACAGAGTAGAATAATCATGGCTGATAGTAAGACATGCAAACCAAAACCAAATTGGAAGCAAGAACAGCTGTTACTTCTTGCCGAGCTGGTTAATGAAAACAAGGATATAATCAAAGGAAAATCTGGAGATGGGATAACCTCCAAAACCAAAGGCGATACCTTTATAAAAGCTCATTATCGTCAAACGTTTCTAAAATGTTTACGTTCCAAGGCAGACTGCGGGCAACAGCTATTTTAGGATAGTTTGTGGCTTGGTCTTAGTGACAGAGGAGTCCTCTTCACTACTCCTAACGCTTCACAGATTTAGGAGCTAGTTTTAGTGCGAAAATGCTTTGTAAAATACTCTTAGAGCAAAAATTTAGGAGTCCTAAATTTAGGACTGACACGCCAATTATTTTTAAGATTTTCTCCTAAATCAGCAAGTTATGAGCTACTTTTAGCCTTAAGATGTTTTGTGAATACGGGCCCTGATATGTACTTTCAGTCGCTTTCTTAAACTTGGAGCAGTGTTTTTTTTTCTTGCCTTGTGAATGCATTTAAATTGATGATATCTTTTTCATAATGAACTCTTAATCTTCAGCAGAGAAGTGAATTGTGCCTCTCCAGGTCTGTGTGATTGGCTGTTTGCGGCTGATGTCACTCTTGCAGGTGCACAAGCTCCAGAGTTAAGCATAAACTCGTGTAATAGTTTAATAACCCTATGTACATAGATCTTTATTTGTGTTATTGATTATTTATTTTATTTTATTATAACATATTTTTAAATGTATCATTATTATTATTCTTGTGCTTATTGTTATCATCTCTTTTTTTGTATTCATTGTGTGAGTTGTCGCTAAATAAAGAAAGGTTAATGATAAATTCTCGATCAAACCCCAGGCTGACAGAGAATGTTTACAGTAAGCAGTGTGAACCCGCTGAACCCGATCTCAACCGGGCTAGATTTGTTTGGTTTTGTCTCTAAACTGAAAGATTACATTATAATGGCATTGGAAAGTTTGTTGAACTAGCTTTGTGTAATGGGCCACAGACCTCAGATGTCCTGCCTGATCCTCCTCAACTCTAGGTTACGTATGTAACCCTGGTTCCCCGAGGGAACGAGACGCAGTGTCGAAAACGCTTTGGGAACTCCCCTGTCTGCCCACGCTCTGAATCACATGTGAAATCAGTCCAATGGAATGGCGAAACGTCACAGGCGGGGTGACGTAGAGAACAGAGAGCTTAAAAGCACATCCGAAACAAGCAGCATTAGCTTCTGATAAGTTGAAGCAAGTCACTCACAGGGATGCAGGAAGTATGGCAATGCGACGCAGCGTCTCGTTCCCTCGGGGAACCAGGGTTACATAAGTAACCTAGAGACATTCCCCTTAAGGAACTCGAGCTGCATCGAAAACGCTTTGGGAATGAGTATGCCCACACCACCATACTGACAAATGCCTGTCTAGTGTGAAATCATGGCGAGCATCGCTAAGACAGATGCACCTGAAAGTCTGGAGCGGACCATACTTCTCCTGGCCTCAAGCACAACGAAAGAAACATGTACCAACGGGTTTCGCCCCCAGTGAATGACCACCCAAAGGGATGTGGAAAGCAGCTATGGCCACCACGAAAACTCTAAAGGTGGAGGGGGTCAAACCTGCGAAGAATCGTTCCTGCAGGAACTCCAGAACTGAACCAACCGGGCAGTTAACTGGGAGCAGCTGACGATATCCGCACCATGAAGTGAACACAACCCACTTCAAGGAGTACAGTTTCCTCGTGGAGGGAGCTCTGGAGTGGAGTATGGTCTCAACAACCTTAGTTGAGAGACCGGAAGCTACGAGTTGTGCCCCCTCAGGGGCCACACCCACAGTTTCCACAACTCCAGACGGGGTGAAAGATGGTGTCCCCCGCCTGAGAGAGGAGATCCCGCTTTACCGGGAATCTCCCATGGAGAGTCTTGAGAAGGGCTACCAGGTCCGCAAACCATGGCTGGCCAGGCCAGTACGGAGCTACTAACTTAGGAGACGCACCCCATACCGGCGAACTCTCTCCAGAACTCCCAGGAGCAGAGCAATCGGGAGAAATGCGTACAGACGCAGCCTCGGCTACGTCTGTATCATAGCATCCAGTCCGAGAGGAGCTGGATGTGAGAGGGAGAACCAGAGGGGACAAAGTAAGGTCTCTCGAGATACAAACAAGTCCACCTGGGCTTGCTCTTTCGAACTTCTTCCAAATCTGCTCCACCACCTCAGGGTGAAGCCTCCATTCCCCAAGCCTTGGCCCCTGCCTCGACAGGATGTCTGCTCCCATATTGACTGTCTGTGCGAACCAGCACATGATGACCTCTCAGGTCCGGGAGAAAGTATTTCAGAGCTTGAAACACGGCCAGCATCTCCAGGCAATTCATGTGCCACGTGAGATGGTGACCACCCCATAGACCCTGGGTGGAGCGGTCACTCATGAACGCTCCCCATCCCATCAGGGAGGAATCCATCGTTAGCGTACGTGACGACAAGGAGTCTCCAGCACTGGGCCTTGTGACAGGAACCAAGGTTTCCTACGCATGTCTAAGGCACGTAAGCATCACCACGTGACCTCAATCACAAGAACCCTATGGTCCTGAGCCACCACTGCAAGGGTCTCATGTACAGCAGGCCAAAAGGTATCACATTGGATGCAGCTGCCATCAGACCTAACAGTTCCTGGAACTGTTTGACAGTGAGTGACTGCCTTCTCTCACTCTCTTGACTGCCGTGAGGATTGACTCGATCCGAGCAGGAGACAGACGTGCCTGCATCGTGGTTGAATCCCACACTACGCCCAGAAAAGTGGTTCTCTGTAATGGAGAAAACACATTTTTCTTGGCGTTCAGTCCCAACCCCAGTTCTTTCACATGGGCGAGGATGACATTTTGATGCCGAGTCGCCGACCACTCTGATTGAGCTAATATCAACCAATCGTTGATATAATTCAGTATGCGGATGCCCTGGAGTCACAAAGGAGCAAGGCAAGCATCCACACACTTGGTGAAAGTGCGGGGTGAGAGTGCAAGACCGAACGGAAGAACCCGATATTGGTAAGCTTCGCCTCCGAAAGCAAACCTGAGGAACTTCCTGCTTGGGAACGATGAAGTACCGGCTGTAGAACCAGGACTCTGTCACGAGGAGGGACCACCTCGATGGCCTCCTTCCTCAAGAGAGTGTTTACTTCCTGTTCCATTACCAGAGCCTGCAGTCTGCAGGACCCATTGTGAGACATTTGGCAGAAGTTTCCACGCTGCCAGAAAGTCTACTAAGGGAATCATTCTCTCGAGACTGACCTCTGGTGTACTTAGAGCGGCTAGCTCGGTGCCCTGAAGCGGAGGACCGGCAGGGGACGGCCGATCTAGCTGCTCTGGAGACCTCCTAGGAGGTAGCGAGCCTCCCAGAACTGCTAAGTTTTCGGGCGGATGCTGAGAGATGTGCTTGCTGGAGACCACTGTGCCCTGAAACACCGGGGATGGCAGGGTTGACAGGCTGGTCTCCTGAGGGCACTGAGGAGAGACGGGCACCGTATGATGAGGTGTACACCGCACTTTCCCAGAGGGGCCTGCCCTCAGACGTCCTGAGCCATGGGCATCAGGACTTTTTGGCTGAAGTCTCCTATTGAAAATGACGGTCCTCATACCCGTCATCTCCTTGGAAGACTTAGACTGACACAACCGGAGCCTGCTCGGGGCAGGAACCAATGAGATACGTTTGGCAGGGGCTCCCACACCGCCAGGTGACCTACTAAGGGAACCAGTCTCTCGAGACTGACCTCTGGTGTACTTAGAGTGGCTAGCTCGGTTCAGAGGAAGAGAGGTATAACACCATGCTCTAACTTGAGAATTTTTTATATACCAAGAGAGCGCTGTATTTAGAGAGTGAGGGAGGAGAAAGGGTGAGGCCCGTCTCCGATCCTTCTGCTGAATGATATATATATATAAATATAAGTATACAAAATATACATCTAACTTCTCAAAGCCAGATGAATATTCATCATTTAATTCCTCAGACTTGCAGCTAAACAACCAGACAAGTGAACACGGTCTGATTATAATATATGATGTAACAAAAATAATCGTGATAAATAGCCTGCAAATGCATTTATACATTTGCACATGTTTGGGGGAAAGAGAGAGAAAAGGAGCCTCCCATTTGCTCACAAATTCCCCCGACATTATTTGCTGCAGACCCGTAATGCACGCGTTGCCGAGGCAAGCCACTAGATTCTATATTGCATAAGACTTTCTATCCTCGAGAAGAAACGCTAGCGGGAGCAGAGCTAAGCATCCAAGGAAATGCACACTTGTACACTAGGGACATTTTATGAATGAACACAGCCAGCTCCCTCAAGAGCTGATTGTGCGTGCTCCTCTCCAAAACAAACCACACATAAATCGTGTGCATCCCCAGCCCTAATTATAGCGAGGGCAGGGAGAAACGAGCAATCTAAAATGCAGTATGCTTTTCATATGCAAAAGATTGAGATGGCGAGTCCTCAATCTCATATACATCATTGCTAACATCAATCTCCTCGGAGGAAGATAGCTGGAGCATAGAACTCTCATTCAAAGAGGGAAGAGACCGCAGCACGGGCTTCCGAACCTCGAGAGAGAGCATTAGATTCATATGCGATCCCAATCGCCGCCGTGGCTCAGCAACAGCCGGACAGAAACCGAAGACTGCAAACACGGACACACTCCTCGAAGTGTGCCCAGCAGGAGCGGAGCATTCGCGGCGGGAGCACGATGCACAATCAGCCCCCTCAAGAGCTGACTGTGTGTGCTCCGCTCCCAAACAACAACACAACGATCGTGTGCATTCACACCCGTAATGTTTATCACGTGCAGAGAAGAACACACAATCTAAAGTGCTGTGTGTTTAGCTCGCCATATAGAGGTGATTGTGCACTGTTAATACAAACAACAGAAAATAAGACTGACACGTTTCACACAGAGCGCTTGCTGAAAACACAGAAGCTAACGCTGCTCGTTTCGGATGCGCTTTTAAGCTCTCTGGTCTATACGTCACCCCGCCCGTGACGTTTCACCATTCCATTGGACTGATTTCACATGTGATTCAGAGCGTGGGCACACAGGGGCGTTCCCAAAGCATTTTCAACGCAGCTCGAGTTCCTGAAGGGGAACAGACTATCAGTGACCCTGAGCCTGTGCCATGTAATCACTGCATTAAGAGAAGAAGCTGAAGCACATGCGCAGTGTTTGTCTTACCTGCATGTGTTATTGACGTGACACGGGCACCTCCTGTCACACTTGAGACCGTACAGCCCCTCTGGACAGATGCGCTCCTCGCAGCTCTCACCCGTGTATCCCGGCTCACACAGACACTCTCCGCTCACATGATAGCACTGGGCACCGTTAACACAGCTACACATCTGTCTGCAGCCCACACCGTACGAGCCGACCAGACACTGATCCTGGCACCTGCCCACACACACACACACGCACACATTTTATTATTTTATTTGGATCCACAAGACAAGCAACAAAAACGTAATCCAAATACCTTGGAAAGTCATTTTGCAAGATGACAGGTACACATGGCTAACATACATTCACAATTCCTTATATTTATAACATTTAACACTCAAGGATAGACAAACCATCTTCATTTCCATATCTGTATACTCCATATAATGGCTGAAACTGCTGTCTTTTTGCTTTCATTTTTTGCAATCCACCCAACTGCAACCCTCTAATCACGTTCTTATGCACATGACCTAAACTTCCAAACACTAAGGTAATTAACTTACAATGATAGTCAAGTTGATGGATAGCTTCAATCAGTGGCTGATATTTACAGATACAAATCAAAATCAAAATACAGATACCAAATACAGATCAAAAACAACAGCCAACCTCAATGAAAAATATAGAGTTCAAAGCCTTGTTTACAATCACAATGTCAGGAGTGTTTGGAATGTTTTTGAAATAGTCACTGACAGATGTGTTATGATAGAACCAGTTCAATTCAACAGTAGTATGCAGGTAAATTTTGCTGTCTTATGTATTGTTTTCAGGTCCTTTACAATCAGATCAACCAGGCGATCATGTCTGGCCACATACAGTCCTTTGTAACAACAGCACCCATTTAAGATGTGGGCAACCGTTTAATTTTCCTGTTGATTTTGATGTAACAGACAGTAGGGGTTGTAATTTGACAGGTACCACATTGACAGACTGTATTTGGAAGACATTGTAGTCGTGCTTTAATTGTAAAAATTAGAATATCCTCTGAGATTGAAGGGTTTGCCAAAACAGAGTGGGATACTGAATGGTCGGCCGATTGGAGAAGTGCTAATTTTCCCTGCAGTGCACACACACGCACACACAGTGCAGCAGTCTTGAAGATGCTGAACAATCTTCTGACTCACACAGCGAATATACTGCCTGTCTTCAGTGTTTTGTTATATAGTAAGAGGTCAACAAATGTGTGTTTTTTTTCCCCTTTAGATTTATTGTTACTTAACAGAAAGCAGCACATTATTATTTTAATCCTGTCACAGCACGTTTGGGAGTTACATGTTTGTAATTGTAGTTCTCTGACTTAGTTCCCTCTCGAGTGGAACTCAACACTGCGTCATCACATTGATGCTATGGGAATGAGCTGGTGTCTGAACAATTTGTCTAAACATGCCAATACGATTGGCTGGACATATGGACATACAGTATAGCCATGACGTCCATAAATAGATGCCAGAAATGCATGCCCAACATCTTATTTGTCTTCAGAAGTCGTGTTTGTTGAGCATGTGTCGTCTACAAAAGAATTCCTGTGTGAATTCTTCAAATCAGGATGAGGAACTCAAATGTTGCGCAGAAACCATCCTAAATTTGATCTTGCGATCATGCTAGTGCTCCACACAGAGATCAGGGGCCTCATTTATAAAATGTTGCGCAGAAACCATCCTAAAATTGATCTTACGGTCATCTCTCAAATATGCGTATTTGTCATTCATAGACTGAACGTACACACAGAAAACACACGTACACCTCTCTTTCAGATGTGAAATCTATGAATCGCTAATGATCTTGAACTTGCGCGCAACTTAATAGTTTCAGCTCTCTGCCTTGTAAATGACTCCTAATTAATGTCATTAACATGTAAAAGATCACCAGTCATCATCCAAATGCTTTAATTCAGAACAGCGAGCTCCAAGAACAGCTTACATTTCCAGAAACCTGCAGTACTCCAACAAGAAAAAGTGAGTACGTCTGCTCAGACCCTGACGTGACGCTAAGCACTTTTCCACGTCAAAGAAAGTTTTTACAAATACGAACGCTGGCGTGGATTTAAGCGCATGCATACTCTAAGATCAAATCACGCTTTATAAATGAGGCCCATGGTTTCTGCATCTGATCCTTAGGGGTTGGATGGATGCTTCTTCTGAGCAGCGTGCAGTGGCCAGACTATGCTTCGACAGAACTCGATGATGGCTTCCTCACAGCAGCACAAGTGCAGTCTCCCTGCAGCTATCTCCTGTACTTTCCTGATCTTCACACTGAGGTGCTCTGCTCGCTTACATACACAAGCAGCATCCTCGTTCTCAGCAGTGGTTGGTAGGGGTATGAGGCGAGCCAGAGGGTTGAAGAGATGTTCTCTGACATCTGCTTCATCATGGAAGACCTGCGTGTCTGGGACTCAGACTGAAGCCCCAAAAATGTGTACTTTCTCCAAATCAGAAAGCAATTTTCTGGGGGTGGGATTCGACCATGACACAGACACATCTGCCTCCTGCATGTGTGACTTTGATTGTAAGGTCTTTGCACACTGAGTCCGAAATTATCATCTGAAATTTTCGCACGTTAAAAAATAAATAAGTTTATACACCTCACGTTGTGTCAATCACGTTTACACACTGCCTGTGAAACTTTCATTCGTCAAAAAAATTCGGACCAGGTTCGATTTTCTGAGTTTTCGCATTCGTAGCAAGCATTTTGATAGGAAAGGATGACGAATATGAAAAAAAAAAAATTCAGACTCAGTGTGCAAGGACTTTAAGACTGTCAAAAACATCAGGCTAGGTCAGGAGCTCTCTATATTATAAATGCAGAGGCTTTTAGGTCTCATGGTGGCAGCAGCCAATGTTATTCCCTTGGGTCTGTTCAACATGAGACCTCTTCAATTCTGGATAGAAAGCAGAGTTACATGTTTAGATACCTATGTCTTATGTGTACACGCCCATGTTTGTTCATACATGTTTACATGTGTAGTACTGTGGTCCTGTGAGGCAGGACATTTCGTTCCTTTGTCTCCACACATGGCAGAATGACAATAAAGCTTAACTTAACTTGATGGCTGACCAGCCCGTGGTCTTTGGGGGAATACTCATCTCACGTGGCAAATAAATTGCCTCAAGATGAGTGCAGTGTTTCTAGTTCTTCTTTCCCCATCTGAGGGGCTAGCACATGTTGAACACACAACACTTTGTTAGTCTCTTACATCAGTCACCAGTCACGCCTCCTAAGCAGATCCTGCTCTGGAAGTTTCTCTCTCTATGAGTAGCTTACATTCCGCGGCATGCAAACCTGTTGTCAGACACCCTGTCGTGACAGGCCCAGAGCTCACCTCTTACTAGTGGCTCAATTTTGGCCGGTTCGTGTTTGGTTTGCGGACCTAATATCTCTCCTGGAAGGCATCTCCTGAAAGATCCTGATCTGGAGAGATCTTCTTTCTCAAGTGCAGGGGACAATATTTCAGCCCCAGCCGGGAAAAATTTTAAAAGACTTTTTGGGGGAAAAAAAGCGATGGAATCAATAAATGTCATAAAAAACATGATTTGAGAACATTTAAATTGATGTATTCTTGTAGAAATGTGTGTTCCACTTGTAAAATGTGATTCGTCATTCTTCACATAAGCAGCATTAAAACTATGTAAAGAATGCACAGTAACAGCTGCTTTGTGTTGTCTGTGTCTTTATCGTATGGTCTGAGCTCGTAATAAAACTTCTATCAGTCCCTATGGAGCTGGATGCAGTGATAGAGGGAACTCAACATGTCATGAGGACACACTTATCACAGCCATTAGCAGAGAACCAGCAGCAGCACACGAGAGAGACGCTGATTCAGAGCCTACTTTTCTGTTCAGCATCCCACAAATATCCTCCTGCATACAGAGACTCACTCTCTTCAACTCTTAACCACTTAGTTAAGCACACACACACACACACACACACACACACACACTGGTGGCCTCCTCCCTGTGGCTGTTAAGCGATTATTTTCCAGCCGATAGGGTGTGGTGAAATCAGGGTAAACCGGAGGTAACAGTGACGTCTGGTGAAGCCAAAGCTCTTATTAAGTCATAAAAATGCACTTGCGTTTCTATTTCTGCAGTTTAAATACATGCTGCTCAGTCGCTCATACTGTAATTACAGCTGTGCATTCTGCTGCTGCTGGATGTAACACCAGGAGAAATGGCTGCATGACTTACTCTACATCTACATGCATATGAGTAAATGCTGTTCTGACAGCCACTGCAGTGACATTAGGAAAATCAACTCTCTTCTGTAGTTCTGAAGTGCTTGTGCCCCAAACGCACCCTTTGTGAATATTCGATTTTATCTCTTGCATGGTTTGTTGTGCTTATTATACTAATTGTTTTCACTTTCACTGATGTTTCTATCACTTTATTGTATGATGTTCTATTAGCAAAGTTTGGGAGGAGCACGTTCAGATAATCAACCAATTACCACCAGATGGAAATGGTCAGATAATCAACTTAATTAGCATGATGGGAGGTGTATATACAGCCAACTCACCTCTGTCCCACAAAAGGTTTTTTAGCATCCCCCCACCACCCCATCTTATAAGATAAGGATGCGGAGGAAGTACTCTGGGTTCAAAGTAAATCCTGAGCTTGGATTCCTCCCCTCGGATAGCCTACCAAATACACATACTCTTTGCTGTATCTGGTTATCTGCAAGTGCGAGCTCATGAAGTAACTTTAATTATTTTAAGCAGTGGGTACGTTTATATACCACAATATAAAAATTACAGTATAATCTCAATTGATTGACATTTGTCGGCAGGATATAAAGCCCCACTCTGCTCTCACACCCCACACTTTGAAAACTTCTGGCCTATACCAAGGGTTTTCAAACTGTTCCTGAAGCCTCCCCAGCAATAAAGAAAATGTGCAGTGCTGGAGAGACTCCAGGAACATTTTAATAATCCCTGGTCTATATGATGCATCTCAGACTAAGCAGCATTTGAGTTCATCAGAGCATGAGTCAAGGAGCTTTGTGCTTTGAACTTCTGAAGTCTTGCAATGGCTTTGTGTGAAAACATTTCTATAAGTTTGGATGCGTTGACCAAGACAGGAAGTGGTTTGGAAGTCACTCTCCTCTTCACGCAGCCTACAGGGTGCAGGCAGCAGCTTTCCTTATCAGCCTGGGCTGCGGTTTCACAAAAGCATTGCGAGCCTAAGTTGATCGTAGCTCCATTGATGGCAATGGGTCTACAATGTACTTAAGCTTACGACGTTTTACGACGCAGCCCTGGTCTCTAGCTTTAATCCCCGCGCTCCAGCGCACCTCCTCAAGTCAACGATACACTTCAGAGAACATCTGCGTGAGTTTGGGGTGTGTTTGAAGTGTAGGAACACCATCTAAACCATGGGTCTCAGATAATACGAAACCAGCTTCTCCATGCTCTTCATGATGCAAGAGCACATTGCTACTGCTCTGCAACCAGACACGATGTTTTCCAGAGCACTGAGACTGTTTCCAGCGCTGGAGTCATACAGATGTAAGTCAGGGTAGCACCATATTTCATTGCTGACAGGAGTGAACATGAGACTGCAAGGGACAGATGTACAGTGTGTTCAATGGATTGTTCTGTTGTTTAGCACTGTGTCAGCTGTTCAGCAACACCTTTACTGTAGAAAGTTGTGGCCACCATTCACACGTTCCCATGCTGTAAAGAGTGTGCTGTCTCGCAGCGTGGCGTATGTACTGACCTCTCTCCTGTGTATCCTGCGCTGCACACGCACTGTCCGGTGGACGGAGAACAGCTTCCTCCATTATGACACTGACACTCCTGTGAGCAGTTCTTCCCGAAGCGTCCCGCCGGACACGGCTGCCCGCACACCGTTCCCTGAAAACAACACCAACACACTTCTGTCACAACACAGTATTCTCTGATGCAAAGACAAACAATGTGTACAAATTAGACAAAACCTTTTAAAGGGGTCATGAACTGAGAAGCTAAAATTCCCTTGATCTTTTGACATATAAGAGGTCATTGTTCAATAAAAACATCCTGTAAGTTTTAGAACTCAAAACTTTCTCGTTAGTCTAAAAACCGCTTATATTAAAGCCAGACTGGCAAAACGACAGCGCCTCCGCAGAAGATCAACGCCTGATTCTACATCACTGACTGTTTAGCCCCACCCACCGATTCTACATCACTGTCTGTTTAGCCCCGCCCACCGATTCCACATCGCCGTCTGTTTAGCCCCGCCCACCAATTATAAATCAAAGCCTGTTTAGCCCCACCCACTGATTCTACATCACTCTGTTTAGCCCCGCCCACCGATTCCACATCGCTGTTTTTAGCCCCGCCCACCGACTCTACATCACTGTCTGTTTAGCCCCACTCACCGATTCTACAGCACTGTCTGTTTAGTCCCGCCCACGATTTTACGCCGCTGTCTGTTTAGCCCCGCCCACCGATTCTACGCCGGTGCCTGTTTAGCCCCGCCCACCGATTCTTTCTACAGCATTGTCTGGTTAGCCCCGCCCACCGATTCTACGCCACTGTCTGTTTAGCCCCGCCCACCGATTATATGCTGCTGCCTGTTTAGCCCCGCCCACCGATTCTACATCACTGTCTGTTTAGCCCCGCCCACCAATTCCACATCGCTGTCTGTTTAGCCCTACCCACCGATTCTACACTGTCTGCTTAGTCCCGCCCACCGATTCTACGCCGCTGCCTGTTTAGTCCTGCCCACCGATTCCACATCACTGTCTGTTTAGCCCCGCCCACCGATTCCACATCACTGTCTGTTTAGCCCCGCCCACCAATTCGTGCCTGTAGTGTAAATAATGAGAGAGGCTAACGCACAGGTCGACGCAGAAACCAAACGATAAAGATGCTCTGAAGACGCTGTTCAGTGCCAAGCTGTGGAAAAACAGTGTTTGCATTGCCTTCCTTCTGATCCCAACGTTAGGAAAGAGTAAATGAACTTTATTTTTAATGAAGGTCCAGACCGCGTCAATAAGAACTCTGTCCTTTGTTCACTTAATTTTACTGCGGATTCATTTATGAATTTATTATTATTTATTCACAATTCGGGGTGGGATTTTCAGAAATATTGAAACAAAAAGACGATGCTGTGCGACTATATTGGATCCGACAGTAATGTTTTCATCACTATTGCTTTGTCTATTAAACCGATCGTTTGATATGTACTGAGTATTTATGTGTTTTTAACATAAATCACAGCAGCGTCCATCTGTGAGGAATATATGCTGTCAAACATACACAACTATTAGCCAATCATAGCAGTGAGCATTTACTTCCGAGTCTACAATCCTCCACGCCTATTCAAACAGAGCATTCTGATAGCCTGTTACTTCTAAATTATGATGTTTTTTGATGTAAAAATATTGATAACATGATAAGTGGACCTCAGAGGCAGTTCATGACCCCTTTAAAACAAATCCAAATAGAAAATAAATTAACAATACTGCAGTGACCCACACATGATGAATCAGAATTATTTATCACTTCCAGATTTGGGTTTTGCACAGACGTACCATCCAGCCGGCGGGGCAGGAGCATTCTCCAGTCACGTGATGACACACGCCGCCGTTCTGACAGGGACAGCGCTCCTCACACTGCCGGCCGTGTTTCCCCGGAGGACACAGCTCCTCGCAGCTGCAGCAGACAGCAAACACAGCGTCAGACTCACACCGCTGCCAAACGAGGGCCCTAAGCAAAACTGTATTGTTGTGCCCCCTCCCCCAAATATCATGGAAGTAAAATGATGTGTTATATTCGCGGTTGTAGCTAGAAGGGATACAGCTACAGGAAACCAACAATAAATATTTTTTTCAACCTATTAGATTGTGTTTTATTAAAGTCTACAACTACCCCAACCCTAAACCTACCCTTACAGTAATGCAGATACATTAAATATTGTTATTTAGCGTGAGAAAAAGGACGTAATATTGATGTGCGCATGCGCAGTAAATCCTGGTAGGACAATCTGATGGGTAGGATAAAATGTCAGGACACCGGAGCACATGCCGCTGAGGTGAGGGGCAGGACGTTTAGACGCGCACTAGAGGCGGTTTAGCCAATCACAACACACTGGGCTAGCTAACCAATCAGAGCCCATCGCCTATTTCTGAGGGAGGGGCTTCATACAAGCAGGAAATGATCAGCGTGTTATTGGGAGAAGGGACAGAGAGGTGTGGAATAAAGGTAAATTATGTGAAAAATAATGCGTTTTTTTTTAAACAAAGCATTAACACGTTAGACTGCACCCCATAAACACAATCAAGCTTAGAGAAAAACAGTCAACCACCCCTTTAAAGGGTTAGTTCACCCCAAAATGAAAATGCTGTCATTAATTACTCACCCTAATGTTGTTCCAACCCAAGACCTTTTAAGATATGTTTGATCAAATCTGAGCGCTCTCTGACCCTGCATAGACAGCAATGCAACTGCAATGTTCCCAGGTCCAGAAACGTAGCAAGGACATCGATAAAACAGTCCATGTGGCTCAACTTTAATTTTGCGAAGCTACGAGTATAGTTTTTGTGTGCAAAAACAAAAATAACATAATTTATTCAACAATTTGTCAAATCAATGTAATCAGTGCTGTTTACATTCAGAGGAAAGCACGCGCATGCGCCGTGGTACTCTCCAAAATGGCGGAAGACGATAACTCTGGGAGAAGAATTGTTGAATAAAATTATGTTATTATTGTTTTCTTTGCGCGTGAAGATGAACGAAGGTCTTACGGGTTTGGAACGACATGAGGGTGAGTAATCTATGACAGAATTTTCATTTTGGAGTGAACTATCCCTATAAAACCATGGTTAATTTTTGTAAGGTTTGTGATGTCCACATGTTTTGTTGAAGAAATTATAGAGGCTGTAGCATTTCTATCGCAAAAACATAAATTGTTTATTTAGTATCTAAATAAATTTAGTATTTAGTATTAGTATTTAGCATTTAGTATCTATTTTAACAGTGTTATTAAATGAAACCATGTGTTCAGTGTGTTCATGTTTATATTTCTATTTATGTATGTTACAGTTTTTTTCAACTGCTTACACACATTTTCAAAACTTTGCCTCTTTTTTTCAAAACTTTACACACAAATCCAAGAACACACACAAAATGCAAAATGCCTCACATCTCTTGCAAAATGAAGCACTGCATTCAAAATATCACAAACACATCTCAAAAGCAAACATTTGC